TATCTCAGCACCACGTCAGTCGAACCTCATGAGTGTGCGATTATTTTGCAGCTCTTTTCACGCTCTTCTAAATGATATAAGAGTGATGCCCGTTAGATTACAATAAACACATGAGAAATATGACAAAAGTGAGTCGCACGAAACTCACCGCCATTTTTATTTCATTTGGAAATATCTAAAGAAATATGGAAGATATCCAGAAGAGAGTTGAACTAGACCAAAGGAGTTCCTCTAGAAAATGGTATAAGATACAGCAGAAGTATTCTCCAAGCAACTTTTGATTTTCTTCTATCTTAGGTGAATGTCCATAAGATCCATGTATTACATTGTTACTTATACGAACGAAATGATAGCATATAACTCATATATGTAAAATTTCATTGCAGGAGTTTCTGAAAATTAGACCAAAGGAGTTCCTCTAGAAAATGGTATAAGATACAGCAGGAGTATTCTCCAAGCAACTTTTGATTTTCTTCTATCTTATGTGAATGTCCATAAGATCCATGTATTACATTGTTACTTATACGAATGAAATGATAGCATATAACTGGTATATGTGAAATTTCATTGCAGGAGTTTCTGAAAATTCAATTCGTTATGGTGCCGATTGGCAAGGTATTCTCACAGAAATTAATGCAATATTAATCATCTACGGAATAATCAGTAAGGGCTTCACTGAAGTTTAGGTCTCATGATGCTCGAATTCTGAGCGTTGAACGCTCAATAATAAAAGAATACTTTTCACCAGTAAAAAGTACTGAGCACCAGTGCGTAAAATACTTTTTCAATGTAAAATTACACTGGAAATACATTATCGTCGCATTTTAATAGTTCAATTATTCAGGAAATACTGTGTACATTTCCCTTTCCACTTTTCCCCTTCTCCCGCTGCCACCCAAAAAACCAACGCAGACTGGTGCGTAGTGTTGTATGTTTTTTTGTTGATCATATAGAGAGGGGATTTTATCTGATTAAACCGTCATGGAAACATGGGGTTACGCGTGTAAGCCCCGTAAGGCTCGTCCATGGGGAACATCGGGGAAACAACTGAATAATGAAAATAAAACCCAATGATGGTATCGCTAAGTACCGAGGGATTACGTACGCATCAACGCGTTCCCGATGAACTTGTTCTCATTATTATAGGGCTCAGTTGCTTCCATTATATTTTTCCGTAAATATGTATGAACTTTGAAGATTTCAGGTATTTTAATTGATACTTATTCATCCGGATTAGGCCAGGGAAATATATTTCCTGCTTATATCGTCATTTGCTAAATCGCGAATGTATAAGTGTATAACAATAATAGGTATCGTCTTTGATGACCATAAATTAGCGACAGTTTCCAGATTGAAGAATTTCGAATGCGCACGCGTGCATATACGAATGGTTTATTCCTAGTTGCCTAGGATAGAAGATGGAGCAGGGAGCGGAAAGGAGAGGAGAGGAGAGGAGAGGTTGGATCCATTGAACAATAGCCTATTCGGTATATTGCGTGACCTATCGTCGTGTGCACGTTTCCCCCTGGGTGTCCGCCACTGCCACACACTCCATCCCCTCGACATTTGTTGCCCCTTAGATACAAACTCCTGTTGGATATGGAGAGGGGGCATCGAGGGCTGGACACATTGAGTTATAATGGTCGACAAATGTGTCGTGTATTATACGCCAGAGGTGTGAAACTCTCGTCAAAGTAACTCGCATTTTACCTCTCGTTGACAATGGGATGCAGGTTAAAGGGTGGGGGTAAAGTGGGGAGGGTAAACTTTGGGAAAATATGAAGTGAGATGGGGTATATAGGTTTGAGCCAAGCAGCTTATGTCGATCAATGGATTCACAAGCGATCTTTACAGATTGCTTGTCGGGAAAAAGTGTCCGGCTTACAATGCCAAATGCCTACGTTCAATAATGCTGCTTAAATATTTTTCACCATGGCTATTTTTACGCCGGCTTCTCTCACCTTTTTTTGCTTGGCTTTGGCTTATTGTTATACTTGAGAGACTCGAATTATCCGATTTTGTGTTGGCTAAAACGCAAGTCTCTGCAATTTGAGGTGAAACACGTTTTCGAGACAGGGGGTATTTGGAGCAATTGGCGGGTTAGTTCATTGTTGAGAAAACAGGAAAAATTAACAATCATATACCAAAGTACACTAAAGGTTTTTCGAAGGGAAGATATATTCTGCACTTGTCTCCAATTCGCAAATGTACTGGGCGCCACTGTTTCATTCCAACATACCGAAAATTTAGTGAACGTGAGGATTTTAGTCATTTGAATAATACATTATCATGATTACGTTATTAAAATTATGCAATTACTTGCACTGAAAGTATTACGAATAGCAGCGCTACTAAGGGAGAGTAACTGTTCAAGTTGTCTTGAGAACTCTTAGGATTTCATTTAAGTACTTTTGATTAATTAGTTTATTGGTAGACGTGATATCTGCGATGTGGGGAAGAAGAGTTGCATAAACGAGATAGGCTTATGGTATGAAGACAGCATGTCGGAGCAGGAAGAAAAATGCTCCAAATTCCAAAAATATTGAGGTCTCCTATACAGAAGATTGGAAATTTTTGTAAAGTAATATTCATTCATAAAAGTTCCCTTCTTACTTCCAAACAATTTTTTTTTACTTACTAAATTTTTTTCTTAATGTATCAGCTTGTTTCTTGTACAGATTGAATGAGATTGAATATACTAAAATAAATTGTCTTTATGCGATCTTTTTGGATATAACATGTGTAATTCTTTCCTTATTTATTTTTTATACCCATCTCAACCCCTATGTACCAAGGAAAAACCTCACCTGAAGGAAAAACCTTTGGTCAGATATAGTTGTCTCTGATTTTTGTTTTCTACGCGAGAAATTAAAGAACGCCATGAATGATACCGGCGGAAAGCGAACTGACGATCCTCCGCATACCAGTTTGACGCCTTAACCACTCGGCCATTGTCGATGGTTATAATATGTGTATTTGAATAAAGTATCAAATATTCTGAATTTAACTATATCTCCATTAGTTCAGGGCTAGAAACAGAGATTCGACTCGAGTCCATGTAGTAAACTAAGTCATTACTATACTCTCTTCGACATCTAATTCGTTTACAATTTTATGAGACATTTTTTTTCAGACATGAAAATTTTACGACTAATATGCATTGATTACATACTAGTATTCCTACTTCGATGATTGTTTGTCAACTATCACCTATACCTTACCTGGAATCTACTCAACAGCAAACAATATGGTTGATAGTGACGATATTTGTGAATGAATGAATTTTCTCAATTCTGAGTGACTTTTACTGACGTATGGACCTGCAAATTGAAATTTTCTTCTTCATTCACGGAATACAATAAACCGCGCATATAATTATTCCATTATTGTACAGAACTTTCATTATTGAACAGACATTCGTTGAAAAAAATCATTTGAAATGGATAAATTGATAAATTAACGGCCAGTTTTTTGATTACGTCAATCGGTTGACGCTTGCATTAAGTTAAAGTTATCTTCAGGCTAAGAATTCCGATTAATTGAAATTACCGCCAGATTAATTAACAGTCAATAAGAGCCTTTAACCGGTAGTTAAACGTTGCTATTAACGTGGTTAACGTACTTATCATAAAACTGGTCGTAAAAAAACGTTTTTGCACGCAATAAATCTTTTGCGGAAATTACCGGGATAGAAGTGTTTAACAGCTTCCAATGCTCCTTATTTTTAATTCTTTAATTAGTTGAGATACAAGGAGAATAAACAATCCCTAATCAATATGTTTAGGTATAGGTTGACAGAAGTACTCGATCCAGAATGTTTAACTCTTTTCATGGCCGTGAATGACGGATATCCTGCAGATAATACATCCTGATATTGCGTGTACGCAATTGATGGATGTGATAACTGGAGGCAATTCCGAACTATCGAAGTGAATATCGGCCGAAGATCGAAGGCCACCACCGAAGGATTACCAATAAGTCGGCACTAATCGTGGGTCTATCTTTGAGCGTTATGCACCACCCTGTAGGGGCCAGAAGTATTCCTACTCAAAATAGCTTTACTTTTTAATTTATTTTCAATCCTAAAACATAGTTTTGACGAGAATATCATGATGGTTACATGTCAAATTATCACAAAACAACTCCAACATACAAGCATACCCACAGCAGGAATCACCACATTTGTTCGAATACAAACAAACTCATGACGTTTCACTACAAACCATAAAAAATAGAAAACGGAATCAAGAGAGTAAACGTTACAATGCATTTTTTTGTTGAATTTTCCCTGCAGTGAATTGATGCGTGTGGAGTTTTTGTGTTGAAATTGCAA